GTTGTTCTCTTAGCTCTTTGATTTAACTTTTTGATGTTACTACAATATACCATATTATCTAAAAAGTAAGTCTCATTAGACTTTAGTCACAATAGGTAAAAATTGCTTTTGAAATTAACATTTAATATTAATATTAACTGCAGATAAATGCATTTAAAGCAAAACTAAATCTATTGGCTCATTGTACTGTAGATTGTGCTTTATAAATCTTCAAAGTCCTTTCTTTTTTCAACACCAATCCAAAAGTGTGCATTCAGTATACGTTTTGCTTTTCTTTGAGTTAATCCATTGTATAAGTCACTTTGAAATAAGGTGACGTAAATTACATTTTCAGAAAAAAGAAAAAGAAATATCATGATTATCAAGCAATGCAAGTTAGTAGAATATTATAAACCAAAATTTGCTATATCCGAGGTGGGTGAAGGAAAGTAGAAATACAGAAATGGGAAAAGGCATTTAAGGACAGCTTCAGTGCTATCTGTGGTTGTAGTTTTTCCCCCTTCAATTAATATATACTGTTTTGTTTCTAGTGTTAAGGTGAACAAAACTTAGGCCCCGTTTACACTAGTGCGTTTTAGATTGAAAACGCATAAGTTTTGCTACGGTTACGCCATCCGTCCACACTACGCCGGAGTTCTCGAGCGCCGAAAACGGAGCTTTTTGAAAACGCTGGAGAGGCCGTTTTCATTCTAAAACGCTGCTGCTCCGTCTCAGTGTGGATGGGGAAAGACGGAGATATCTGAAAACGGAGGCGGGGCTGCAAACGTTCGCCTATCTGATTGGGGCTTTTCCTCAATATTAAGTAGCCCACACACAGTTCAGTCTCGCATCCTCTTCTTGTAAGTTAAGACTTCGCAAGTTTGATCAAGGCCGCAGTCTCCCCCTTCTCAGTTTGATATGGAAAACATACCGAGGACACGCGTCAATCTTCAAACGGGACAGTGTACTTTATAACTTCATTCACATCACCTTGGCTACGTTGTTTCACTTTCTCAACAATAAAATGTAAACATGATTTAAGGAACTGCCTTATTTCTTTTTAATATTAGCAACTTAACAGACAGCAGAAATGTTGAGGCGTCGTGCTGCATATATGAGCGTGGATATTTATAACAAAACGGAGCATATAACAACTGCCTCCTTTTAATTTAAGTGAAAATACGAAACGCACCCTCTCTTTTGCTGAATATCAGTTTTAATAATCGACAATTATAAAAGTATAACATAAAATAAGTTTATACATTGTAGGAAATAAGGGCAAGCGATCAGTCAATGTACCTGGATTAATCATTAACTTATCTTTGCACTTAACCAAAACATGTTACCCGTGAACAAGTAACTTAATAGATTCCAATGACCAAAGTCAGGGAATTGGCCTATGTCGTTAGATAAAGACAACAACATGAATGAAATATCACGTTTAGCAAATATAGTGAGATTAGATCCAGCGGGAGATGCTTGATGAGAAGTCCGACAAGCAGAGCTCTCATCTGGGTAGAATGCTGGAGCGCTTGCCCGAGAGTGTGTGTGTGGTCACGTGATGTGCGTTTTCAGCGTTTTGGTGTGGACGGAGAGCTGTTCAGAAACGCTGGGTAAAACGCGAGTGTGGACGCGGATCGTTTTCATTCTACAACGCCGTTTTAAAACTAAAACGCACTAGTGTAAACGGGGCCTTAGACTGTGCTCTGATGCCCCAAAAAGTACTGCCAAAGGTGGATAAGCTGCTTACAAAGAGCCTTAGTCTGGTTTTGCCTTATTTTAATCAGTGTAAAATGCTGAGCTGTAAATAACAGGCATGAACATTTCTATGGCACGCTCTCGCTCTTGTCACCCTGAGCACAGCTGGGCTCCGTTCTCAAGAACACTATCACACATACACAACATCCAGATATCAGCCAGCACTGCTATGCTGCACAACTAATCTGATTTGGCATCGAGAAAAGATACTCACTTCATCTTACACACACAAGCTAACAAGGTTTAGTCCATCCAGAGCTCTCCAAGGCTGATGCATCCTTACCTGAGTCAGGTCAGAGCAGTGGGAATGCACTGATGAGCACTTCAGATTTGTTATGGAGAGACAGAAAAGAGGATACAGAGGTCAAGAGAGCACTTTTTCTGACAGCACAGTGGAAAAGTGATCTCAAGTTGACATGAAAAGCAGGAAAAGCTGCTGTATATGAAGCCTCCAGGCATATCTGGCTGCTATCGGTGGAGTTGCTAATTAAAAAGTAGGCTGGTGTTTTGCTAAGGTTGCACTTTGGGAAGTTGGCGTGTTAATATTCTGCAGACAGGTCAGGAGGATGTGAAGGTTCCCTGGCACAGCTATCGATGTTAGGAGACAGATGTCTTCTAGATACACTCCGAATACAGTCTTTTTATCATTATACCTAGTGTTTTGCTACTGGTCACTTTGCTATTGGATCTGTTCTATTGTCTTATATGCTCTTTTTTTCATTGCTGTCAAATAAGCCTGCAGTAATAAGAGCGGCTTTCAGTGGGAGGCTGAAGTTTTTAATGCACTTGAAATGAATTTTGCTCTCAACCAGTTATTGGACTGAAACAAGAATCATTCTCAGGTCTTTAGCAGGCTGTTGACAGCCACGATTGAATCCATAGAGCATTTGAGATGGGAATTGCAGTATATACACTGCAAAAGAAAGTGATTTAAAATAAAATAATTACAATTTTCACGTATATTTTTTTTAGAAAGCGGCCATGTTTTTTTTAATTTTAGTTAGGTTAATTTAGGGTAAAAAAAGTTTATTTATATATATATATATATATATATATGGGCAATTCCATGCAAATGTCAACTTTGCCATAAAAAATTATTTAGTTTTCTCCAAAATAGAGAAACCGTTTTTACATTTTTTGTGTTAGCAAGTTTTTTACAGTACTTTAAAAATACTCGTAAATGTATCTGTCAGTATTTCAAACTATTATATTTAATTTGCCAAAATCACACAAGTGGAAATTTCACAGCTGTCACATCCATAACGGAAATGTGTCACATCCATAACGACACTTTTTCTTCATAAATGCAAAAATGTCAAATTAAATAAAATCAATCATTTTAATTCTATAGTGAGCCGACTCATACCTGTTTGATGAGCATTGTGTCTTTTGGGTTGTGCAGTTTAACTGTCAGTATTTCTAAATAATCTGTTGTCGACTGTAAATTTGCAAACTTTTTTGTCACATCCATAACGCATGTTTATTTTCCTAATTTAAAATATAAAACATGTTTACATATTGATATTTTTCTGCTCCCAGAACTCTGTGGTGAGCTGTTTTGGAAAATATAAACAGAAGTTTCGATATAATGTCAACATATACTTTCTGTGTGAAATTATGTTTTGAGTTTTTACTGCAAATGTCACATCCATAACGCTGGAATCGCTCATATATATATATAACAACACAAACTACACAATTCAGGAAGTTTTGATTCCGGATTTGTTTTTACCACTGTCACTCTTTCTCTTGTGTCCATGTAGTTGCAGTGCCTCGGATCTGTGTTAACGGGTGCACAGATGTACAAATCTACATTTGTTGCCAGACAGTTTGGGCTACTTATTAGAATTATGGGAATTATCGGTCCGACAAATTTTAATTGGATAAACTTTTTTTTTGTCTTCTGCCTTACAAAGAATATATAAAGACATAAATTCATTTAGATCATTTACTTTAATCACTACTATTGGAACGTGAAGAGAAGTTTCTGAAGACAATACTGCACCTTTAATATTAAAAGTAAAATAAAATAGTATAATGTTAAATGCAAAAGGCGTAGACATATCTGGGGTTTTGACAAATGAGTTAATTGTGTAAAAAGCACATTTTCTTCAAAAACTTACAGTATTTAATGAATGTGTTAAGAGCCCTAAGAAATAAATGTTTATTTGAAGACTGCTATGTGCTTGAACGTGACAGCTAAGCCAGATGCAAGGAAACATGGTGTCAACAGAATATGCTCATTACCGAATGCTGGCTTTGTGTTTGGATGAGTTGAATCAGTAAGGATCAGTAATGCGTGGCCTCTGCTTATACACCCACACTGTTAATGGATGATAGGCTTTGTAAACACATTCAATAATTGAATGTAATGACTTATCTAAAAGCCATTGTTTGTGTTGCCTATTTATCTGTCAAGAGTGCTAATACAGATTTTTATTTTGATAAAAAAAAATTAACTCTTCAATAAAAATTATAAAGGGGGTCTATAGACCACAATAGGAACCTTGTAGATCCATAAAAGATTTTCTGGAGCAATACTTCTTGTGACAAGTGACACAAATATCTAATATCACTGTCATAATAGCGAGAAAATAATATAAATATGTTAATGATGTTTTTATTTGTTTGCCAGTTGTATACTTACAATATAAGAGCTCTTTAATCATTTAAACAGCTTGATTTCGTAGATCACATTTTCTTTTTGCAATATCATTGCTTTTCCCTGGATTTTTACACTCGAGAGCAGTTTCGTTGTGGTTGAGGACAGATGGAATCGCCTTATTCTGTGTCTTTCCTCTGTCCCATGGGTCTTCTGGACATGATATCAGTTGTCTTTTCTCTGTCCAGCTAACAGTATGCATTCACTGGTCTGAGGTAGATCTGGCTGAGTAGAATAATGGTTCACTTTTGCCATCTAGTGGTGTTTTACTTTCTTTCACCAATGGTAAAAGACTCATTATGCTGGATACTGGCCATTATTCCACCTAATCATTATTGAAATCATGTATTGAATCTACCACGGCATAATAATTTGCTAAAATCAGCTTGTTAATAATTCAAGTTAACTTGTGAATATTTGTAATGCAGTGTTGGATAAGATGAATTGAGGTCGTTGTATTACGCCACCCGGTGGACTGTTCATTACCTGCAGGATTGTTACTGTATACTGCATTCAAGTTCAAAAGTTCTGGTTTTCACGTAATTATTGTGACACATTTGATTTGTAGTTAATCTTGTATTTTTCTCTTTCTTTATTTCAGAAGGAGCTGAGTCTTCCTAGAAGAGGCAGTTTGTAAGTACAAATTACAAAAAGACAGAGAAAGCTGTGGTGTTTTGTGAATAATTATATAATAGTTTATTTTCTTTATTTCATTTTATTTTGATCAAAGAGGATGCAATGCCCATTCAGCAAAGAGTTATTTTGTGTTACACTGAATCAAATAAAGCAAATACTCAAAGTTCTTTGTTGATGTGCTTTACATGTGCACTGCAAGGCTAATTCATTCTCTTAAGTAGCAGATCCGTATCTGACTATGAATTATATCCAGTTTGTTACGTTATTACATTCAAAATCAACCAGATTAATCCAGGCTGCGTTTACACTAGTATGTTTTTATAGTTATGTTGAAAACGCTGCTTGTCTACAGTATATTGCCGTTTTTACTGCATGCCAGATAAAGGTGTTATGTCCACAGTATGCAGCATAAAATGCATTACATGTGACCATCCACACTCAATGACCATGTGTATATTTTTCTTGTATCCGCACTTGCTGTTTACCAGTTGCGTAATGGTCATATGAGAGCAGCTTTAAGAATCAGCGAGGGATGCGCAATAGTCCAGAAAAGCAGTCAGTGAGCGATTGTGTACAGCCACATGTCCATTTTCAAAAGTCTGTGTTTCAATTCGTCTATATGAAATGGAGCTTCAGCATCTAGCATATAAAACATTACATTATACAGCCACTCATCTATTTCAGGCTTGTGTTATTGCCTTTCTACATCTGGATACTGCTTAATAAGTCAGCATGTTTAATGTTTCAGACACTGCTGTATCAGTTCAGTTAGCATTCCTCCTAGATCACAGTGTCAACGCTGTTTACTGCACATGGACAGGGTCACGGCGGGTCGTAGGTGACTGGTAGGGCAGTGACAGGCAGATTACTCCAAGCCTTTTCCGACAGCTGAGCATTTCTGTTCGTGTTCTGACACACCTATGTATATCTTCCTTTCTGTTTATTTTTAACTCACTGCTAGCAAAAAAAAGTGCCATCATAAGATCACGCAATATCAAAATCATGAGATTGGGGGTGGCGCAGAGAATCTTGGGGTCTCGTAAAGGGTTTTTCAAATCTTGTGTGCAAGCATACCGTCGCTGATCTTTTGGTTAGCGTTTTCTTTTTGCTTTCTTTGTGTAGCTTACAGTGACTGGCAGGAGTGGGCATAATGTCGGCTATTGTGAGGGTTCACTGAGTTTATTCCACCCGCTGCAGGATTACAGGGCTTAATCAAATCAAGCCTTCAATTCCACAATGCTGTCAGTGAACTTTTCTTTTAGTCTTCATGCAGTTAGGGTTTTTGGTTAATTTCTGGGTGACCTTCTCATAACTTACTGCTTTCTGTCTCATCTTTTCACATTCTGGTGTGTTGTTAACCCTGGATAAAAAAAAACTAAATTAACTAAAACTAAATTATAACTATTCAATAATTTATTAATTACTAACCCTGAAATTGTAAATTTTTCTCCCCGGTGTATACAACAGGGTTAAAAATGTAAGAACAATTTTAAACACATTATTGTGTGTGTGTGTATGTATGTATGTATGTATGTATGTATGTATGTATGTATGTATGTATGTATGTATGTATGTATGTATGTATGTACTGTATGTACTGTATGTATGTATGTATGTATGTATGTATGTATGTATATATATATATATATTTGTTTTGTGTGTGTGTGTGTGTGTGTGTGTGTGTGTGTATTTACACCTCTCATCCTGGTGTTTGTGTTTGTTTTATCTGTAGCGTGCTTTTTCATTCTCAGCCTTTCAGTCTAGTTGGTTTGTTGACTTTTTAACCAATAAACCCATCGTGAGTCCTCACTCCCTCATCCTTCCTGACAGTTTAGATCAGCACTCTATTCTGCCATTTCATTATTTTAATGTTTTCTGTTCCAAAGAACTGCTTTAACGATTGGCACTCATCAACCTGAACAAAAATTAGATGGATAATTGGGTGATGAATGCAGGGAAGGAACCACATGTTGATGAGTTGATGAAAGAGCCTCCAATAAACATTTTCATTCACTATGCCATGCAGCACAAGCTGCACCCTACTGCAGAAAACATCATCAAACCATGAAACTTCCTCCTTGAACTTTCACTCACTTTTTCTTTCTTTCTTTCTTTCTTTCTTTCTTTCTTTCTTTCTTTCTTTCTTTCTTTCTTTCTTTCTTTCTTTCTTTCCTTCTTTCTTTCTTTCTTTCTTTCTTTCTTTCTTTCTTTCTTTCTTTCTTTCTTTCTTTCTTTCTTTCTTTCTTTCTTTCTTTCTTTCTTTCCTTCTTTCATTCTTTCTTTCTTTCTTTCTTTCTTTCTTTCTTTCTTTCTTTCTTTCTTTTCTTTTTATTTTTTTTACTACACAATTTGGGTTCAATCTTTTCCCAGTTTGAAGATGAACATAATATGTCTCATCAGACCCAACGCTTTCATCACTAAAGTGATCTTTGGACCAGTTCTCTGTCCACACGACATGCTCCTTACTAATAGTTTTGTGATAGTTGTGATAGTAATTCTATCTCTAAAACTTCAAGACCAAGACCAATTCCTCCTCTGACTATTATGATTTTTTTTTGGTCATTTTTTTGAGCTTCACTTTATCTACAGTAGTCAACATTTGAAGTGGATCAAAAAAAGTCTAAAATTGTCATAAGACAAGAATGGGTGTTGATTAGTTATAGTTAGGACAACTTTGTTAAAAGGTGCTTATCCACTTCTAATGTTCACTACTAGATTCCCCTTTGTTTTCATTTTCTATTGAAAATAACAACCCAGGCATGCAATGAAATTTGGATTAGGAAAAAATATGGTCAGCAATTCATACATGAATGTTCATGTTTGGGACAACCATCACTTGAAGTATACACTCTAGGCGTGGGCCGGTATAAGATTCTGACGGTATGAAAACGTTTGATGAAAATATCAGTTTCATGGTATGACGGTATTGTGATTACTGCTCAAAAAAATGTTATTTTTAAATGTTTGGAATTTTATTTTTAAGAAGCATTTCAAATGTTTTGGCAAAGTAAACGTATCAGGCTGAATAATTAAAATAATTTATTGACTTTAGCTGTCTTCACTAGTTTCAAAGACTTAAAAATGTATCTAAAATTGCACTGACCAGTAGCTTTTGATGTGGAGATCATTTTGCCCAAAAAACTAAATAAAACAGTCTTGAACAACATGTAAAAAAAAAAAAAAAAACTTACATATACTATAAGAACAGTATTACACACAATTTTAGCAGTTTTAAAACCTTAACTTTTCCAAACCGCAGTGTACCTTGAAACCGGCTATCGTCCCATGCCTACTTGCACAGAGACATGTATCATGTGTCAATGTAATTGTATTAGGCTCTCCTGTGGCGTTGTGTGTCAATAGAATCAGTAAGGCTTAACGCTTGTGTTGCTTCTCCTCTGCTCTTTGATCCTGCCTATTGTCTGCTTGGGGCTACATTTAGCCAAAAGCATTCGCCTGGGAACAGTGGATAGGATTCTGATGTTCTCCGGGTTCCCAGAACTGTGCTTATACGCGTGTGTGGGTGTACAGAGACGGACTGGTGTGAGGAAGGGGCAACAGCTGCACCTCCCCCAGGGTCTTGTGATATCATGAGAATGCCCTCTCCCTCATTACATGCTGTGTTTGTGTGTTTCTGACCGTCTTGCCAACATATACACATTAGCAGCAGAGGTCGGAAGCGAGTGAAGCGTCTTCTAATTTGCCTGGAATTGGACCGTCACGCTCTTCACATTCTCCCATCAGACCAATGTTATGGTACTTCACAGTGCGGAGAAAGACACGCGCTCTTGGATACAACTTTCAGAGGACTGTCTTTTAAAAACAAACACCATCATGACCTCAGTTAACACAGAATTGGATACTTGCTCGGGTCGCAGACAAGCTGAGACTTGAAGGCACATTGTGATCTTGTGATCTGACAGTTGATGATTTTGATGAAGATAGAGGAAGTATGGCTGGAATTGCCCAAACCTTCATGAGCAGAGTTGGTCGTTTGGTAGCAGACGTTCGCATTATGCCATGCTGTGTTCTTGGAACCGTAAAGCTGGAGACTCTTCAGTGTTACACTTCTGAGTAAAAGTCAGATTTACGTTTTCGCATATCCATCTGCCCAACTTATGAACATGAAGAAAAGAAAGGAAAGACTTGGAGCCCCTGACCTACACATACAGTAAGAGTTTATTTGGGTCATATACAGTATGTAACTAAGGCTGCACGATTATGAATTTAATTATTGTTAGAAAAGAAGACTTGCTTCTTGGCCTTTACAATCTAGACAACAAGAATAAATTATATATTGTGTAGTAATAGTAACATTACTACTTTATAATTACAATTTTATGTAACAATTTGGCAAAAAATATCTTCAATTACTATAATATTACTGCTACTGTTATTATTGCTGCTATTATTATTATTATTATTATTATTATTATTATTATTATTATTATTATTATTATTATTGTCAATAATCTCATCATTATTTGTACAGTTGCAATCAGAATTATTAAACCCCTTTGATTTTTTTTCTTTTTGAAATATTTCCCAAATTATTTTTAACAGAGCAAGGAAATTTTCACAGTATGTCTGAAAATATATATTTTTTTTGTGTGGAGAAAGTCTTATTTGTTTTATTTTGGCTAGAATAAAAGCAGTTTTAATTTCTTTAAAAACCATTTTAAGGTCATAATTATTAGCCCCTTTAAGCTATATTTTTTCGATAGTCTACAGAACAAACTATTGTTATACAATAACTTGCCTAATTACCCTAACCTGCCCAGGTAACCTAATTTACCTAGTTAAGCCTTTAAATGGCACTTTAAGTTGTATAGAAGTGTCTTGAAAAATAACTAGTCAAATATTATTTACTGTCATCATAGCAAAGATAAAATAAATCATTAGAAATGAATTATTAAAACTATTATGTTTAGAAATGTGTTGAAAAAAATTCTCTCCGTTTAACAGAAATTGAGGAAAAAAAATAAACCGAAGGGCTA